AGCCCTTGGCTAGCAAAGATGGGATGAGACTTTAAATTAAATAAGTTTCTGGTTTCTCTTAACGAAGCATAACTTCTTCAGGCATTGACGTAATTATAACCTTGTTTATGAAATTTGCTATGAAGAAGAAATAAAGCTCTGAGGTAAAGAGTGGTCATGATCAGATGGCCTAGTGGATAACGCATTTACCTTTCACCCAGGCGGTCAGAGTTCAATTTAAATACTCGATCAGACGTGAAAAGGTATTAGGTCACCTGTACAACCTATTGGTTTTCTCAGCGTACCCTGTGTTCCTCCTACATGTGACCCGGCCCCCTAACGCTAACATTCAGACCAACAAGAATGATTCATATATTTGAAATAACTTGTTTCATAATTGATGTAAAATAAATAAAGTTTATATTCATATATAGGTAAAGACAAGCACTTGGTCTACAGCTATGGTTTCCATCAATATAATAATAAAACAGTTACAGACTGGACATTCAAAAAAATAATCATTATTGTCCCTTCAGACAAAATATTTCTCTTGATGATCACCCTTGGGGAAATAGTTTGACATTCAGGGAAAAGAAAACAACTATTTCCCTTGTGCACATTCCATACCTGTATAATATAAATCTCTGAAGTACTAAAATCTAGTACTAAGTACAACTCTAGTCGCTCGTGGTGGTAATCATACAAATCAACACATTCCGACACGTTCCACAGTTGTCGTGAACCGAACCAGTCACGGACCAATAAAAACACCTGTCGCACAGGATCTAATGAACCGACAAAGTCCATCAGCAATAGCCAATTTAAATCCAGTAAAATGACAAAACAGCGGTTTCAGTTCCTCTTAGTGGTGTACATAATTGTACTATCAATTCTCCCCAACGTCAGCTGGCATTACAATGCAAGGACTTATAATGACATGGGCTATTATAATAAAGACATATATACCTTGCTACAGTATAATATATATACCTTGCTACAGTATATATATATACCTTGCTACAGTATAATATATATAGCCTTGGTGTCTTTTATAAAGTGCACAGCCCCATGTTCTTTAGGTATAAGACACTGTAATTGAATCTGGACAAACATATACAGTCCTGTGTCAAAAAAATCATTTATGTTTTGAGCATTTATGGTATTTCTACATTTTTTCAATGAACTTTCCTGAAGTCAATGGTGATTATATTGAAACAATCATTTGCATCAATCAAAGAAAATGTTATCTCTATTTAGCTTTCACAATATTTTTTCTTCTTTCTGCTGAAACGTTCCACAAGATTTGATGAAGCAAATGAAACTATTTTGTCGAGCCACTTTGTTCTTAATATCCTAACAAAACTTTATGGTAGAAATTTAAATTGCATGAATAACTTGTTATATCACAAAAACCACTGTACAGAAAGAAATGATGGAAATAAAAGAAAAATTGACTTCACAAAATTCACTAAAAATTGAAATGTGCAAAACATGTGTAGGAAAAATATAAAATGCTTGCAAAATTAATTTTGACACCAGACAGTACAAGTGAATTCATGTCTACATATATATAAATAAAACAAAACACGAAGACTAGTATAATCGGCTAGCGCTTTCGTCCAACTTGGGGCTCTTCAGGCGATTTGGACATTTAAAACTGTTTATATCTATATACATTTGACAAGGTTCCCCTGATGAACCGCTAAAGAAGTGAAAGCACTAGGGAGGTACCATCCTAAGAATCTTGTTATTTTTTTATCTTATTTATATTTGTATATATATATACATACATGTACATTAATTTGTACCAGAAGTGGAATATCACCTATCTTTGTTAATGATATTGATTACACAGGCATTTCAAAAGTTCAATGAAATAATCTTACAAAGGATAAGAGGGAATCTCCCTCCAGCACAATTCCTGGACCACAAGATAAATATTTTACGGACAGTTGAAACTTGAACTTCAAAGTATGTAGATCTGATCTGAGCTCGAAGTCTGGTGGAAACAGGAACTCTTGCCACTGTTAAATTTTAAGGATTTTTTGCACAAGAGTCATGCCTTTTTTTTTCAAACTGGGAAAAAATATAGCAGTTTCACCGGAAAAAATAGAAAATATTTAAAGGCTAATACTTTTGTTGAAAAGTATACAACAGTATATAACAGCAATAGCACGCTTTTAAAGAATTTATCAACCCTTTCCTACGATAACCCCTAAAAGGGCAAGTTATCAGCCCTCCCTACAAAGTCCCATAATCTCTAACACAGCTGTCCCCCTCCTCCCCCTCTCGACACTCCAGTGCAATCTGACATATTTCCCACGCTCCTACTATATACCACAGCAAGTTTGCCTGATATTTTGGAAAATGTCAAAACATACCATTTTATGTAGATATCAGAGTTCAACGTCGACCACGATCTGTTAGCATACGCAAACACCAACATGTATGCAATGTGTATCATCAACATTTTCACAAATTGAAATTTAAATATAAAACTTAAATGTCACAGTGCTGAAAATTATGAACTTCCGATAATTTAGAATAGGACATATATACGACCTGACCAAACGTGATAAATGTATCCCATTAAGCCAACAATGCTGACCACAAATATCGTAGTATGTAGCAGCCCACAACCACTGTATATGTGTGGAGGTACCCTGGGGCATGTGGTCCTCCCAGTGGGGGATAAACCAGCACTCAGATGGGACACGATTGGTTAGCTTGACATCACTAATGGAACTGGTGATAATTGTCATAACGTTTAATTCTAAAAACAAAGTACATTTTGTATGTATACTTGGAAATACACAAAAATTTCCATATTTCTAAATATATATGTTTTTCAAAATCATTTAAATAGGAAAGCTTCAAATTCATCCCTCTGAATCCTAAACCTAGTTAACGTTGTACCAGCATTGTTATCTTACCCATGTCTGATATACAGATGTATTATAAAAGTTAATCTAAAACAATCTGTTTTCAGCAGATTTTTATTTCTTATTTTCATATGAGATGATCTTATTGAATCCCAGAAAAATCATTTTAAAGTTAATATATGAAACTGACTAAACTCTTGATTTATAAAATACATTATACACCATGAAGTTGACGATGCTTGGACGATTACGGAATCCAAAATTTCCAAATGACTAGATTATAAACACACTATAACCACTGTCCCCACAAATATCAAACACATTAAATATTTTGAAATTATAATTTTTCGTGTTATCTGCCTTATAAACACAACATGGTGTAGTTGCAGAGAAGCTTATCACAAAATGCATCACTGTCTGTATCAAGGTCCGGCAACGATTTTCTTTGTACGCCTTAAAGCTTTAGTCCAAAAGAACTTTAGTTGAATAAAGTGTTTGCTAGTCCCACACGACAGTGTACAGTGTACAATGAATCTACCAGTACCACCAGTGAATTTTGACTCTCTGTTAGATTTCGTTTTGACAAAACAAATCCGACGCAAAATTCTGTTTTGTACTCACAATCCTACCGGTATTAAATCATAAACTATTATTTAAGCAAACATTTCAATGACAGGAAATCTCCATAAAGGAAATCATTGTCCCCTATTTTCCTTTTTCAGTCAACAATATTTAAAGCAATTAGTTGAACTTAAAAGTAAAATTTCAACAAAGAACTTTAGAAAAGGTTTGCATACAAATAGACATGAACTTTAGGTCTTGTAAAAGTTTGGTGAACTTTCGACACAGGTTGACATTCCGATTCTGTTGGACAGCTGGTCTATTTGGGCCGATAGCCATCGCTACAATGTGTTTATTCTGCCTGAAGAAACTCAATATTCAATTGGACGCATTGTGATGGTAAAAGGCCGGGGAGTTAGGGAATCTGAGTGTCTTTGTCATAGTAAAAGTCGGGAGTTACCTGGCTATCTGGCGAGACAAGATTGATATCGTTCTCGTTAACAGGTAACTTAACAGGTTCAGGTGAGCGTGTTCAGGTGAATGATAATCACTGACATGGCAAGAGATCATATTTTTTTTTATTTTTTTTTGAGATGTATACAGCCAACAGGCATAAGGATTTGATCATATTCTCGTGATACAGTACACACCTTAATTTAAAAGTTTTATACATATACATATACACATATAAAACTGTAATGGTTACAATAGACAGGCTGAAATGCCTGGACGGTGAGTCCTGCAAACTTAACAGCGAAAGGATTACTGACAGCCCATCAATTCCATGTATAATTGATCTTCACTTACAATCTTCTTCGTGGTTTTTTAGAACGTTATTTTTATAGAGAGTTACATTATTGATGCTTCATTGTTAATGTAACTGGTTTGGTACATGACCTTCACCTTAATTATAATGTGACCTTGAAATACAGATCACAGAAGTTCAAAATGACAAACTAGACAATTAATCAAAGGTCACCATCTCTCACGTGACCTTGATAAATGGTTGTATAATTTTCACATGACCTACTGACCTCCACAAAAAGTACAAATGCAAATTCTTCTGAAATCGAAACTCAACATATATTTTTTGAAAATTTTCACAAGCCCTGCATTAGCCTGGGAGCTCCAGAAAGTGGAACTTTACTGTATTCCTGATGTTATCTCAAGATCAAGTCTTTTAAAATTTGAACTGTCACATGACAATGACATATATAAGACTTTTTTAAACAAAGGTCACTTTAAACTATAACATGCCCTTGATAAAAGATCTCTTAAACTCATTCACCACTGAAGACACATTTGAACTCATCCAATCAAATAGTTGGAACAGTTCATTATCAAATTTCAGGGGTGAATGAAGAGCTAGATTCATGACCTTGCACTGGAAGACCACAAAACAAAACACATGATCACATGACCATGATCGAAGGTCATTCGAACACAATAACCGAAATCTTGCATGACCTGCAATGAACTGAATTAAGCTCCCTTAATACCAAATGACCTTGACCTCTTATATTGAACTCTCGTCTTTCTGTAGCTTGTAGTTGCCTCTATTTTACAGTCTTTACTCACCACTAGACCAGTGATATAGTTGGGCAGAATCTCTGTCAAGTCTGAAGAAGATGTGATGTTTCCAACAAGGAAATGGACAACAATAGTTACAAGTCCTAGGATGGCGATGATCATCCCTAATGCCATAAAAATCCAAAGTTTCCGAAATACAGGAGCATTAACCATGATTTTTTTACGACCTCGCTCATTTCTCTCGAGCGACATCATGTTATCAAGGACATCAATATATACTTGTGATGTCGATGATGACAACACTCTCCAAGTTGACCAAATAATCAGTAAAAAGGTCCCTTCTTTCCGGCTGATAATATAGTGCTCATTTATATTCTTCCATTAATTGCTATTCCAATGTTTTAAAGACACATGTGATCTTCTTTAATGGATATGTGTGCACGTTCCTCGACAGTGCAGAATTATCTTGGTAAAAATGTCTTGAAAATAAATAAAACATCTTCATCTCTTTAAAGTTCCACGTGTATGCACAATATACAAGAATTGTTGCCGAGATGGCCCCTCGGTCAGCCAAGCGTGCCTGTCAACACAGCGGATTAGAATGAATGAGAGTCAAAAAGTTTCATCAAAACAGACAAATAAAGGTAAACTAATTTCCTACATCAATGACCGTCCACAAACCCACGGAATGGCACAAAGGATAAACAAGTTTACGTTCTCGACGCCAAAAGTTCCGGCCAAAAACTGTCCGACACGAAGAGAAAGTTCTGTCGCCTTGGTCCTAACACACCACTGACTGCAGCGAGTGCCATCCCTCATACTGAGGAATAAAAACTCAGTCGTCTGCTGTTTGTATGACAATGGGGTCGAGGTTTTTATCTTCTCCAGTCATGCGGTTCATTCCTCTGCACGTTAAGGTTATCACAGTCACTCAGTCTAAACTTTCGCCTTTCAATTTCAAACCAGCACGAGTTCGGCACATTTCTCGCGTCAGTCGGCACGCGGGGTTACGCGCGGTTTGTCGTCTCGTGTTTACAATGTCAAATCTCGTCATTACATCTCGAGATTTTGATAATTTGACGGGAGTGCCGTAGGCAGTACTTTGTAAAAAGAGGAGGACAAAAAAGCCTGTGTACTATACAACTTATACCACTGAACATCCCAATATTATAACTAAGTTTGATTAACAGACAAGAAAAATGTAAAATAATATTCCTATTAATCTGAAAGTAAAAAGTGGTCCCCGGGCCCCTGCCTGTGAATATTTAGTTTCTTGATGAAATAAGGAGATAAGGGACGAGGGCGCTCCACGTTATACTCCGTATGGCACTAACGCGACCACGTGATCTCCCGAACATGCAAGTTATGTGGATAATGACAAGTATTCCCAGACTCAGTAATTATTGAAACATGTTAATCTCCCGAGGGAATTAATTAGTTTAATTATCATATCTCCATGACTCACAAGTTTCTTAGCTTCCAGAAAGGTTCCAGAATCAGATATAATAATTATACCCTTGGCTTACCGGGAAGTTTTGAAGTGAATATAAGTTGGTGTTCCTGCAAGCGATATATATATATCAGTATACTGGTGCGTTTTCGAGACCCGCCCGGTCTTGACACAGAGAAGAAAAGTTATATAAACTATACTGCCCTTTTCTTTAAGAACCCTCATGACTGGTTCTGTTGTGTGACATCACGAGTCATGCTCAAATAAAACTGGGTCTATAACACCCGGAACGCCCAGATTAGTTCTGTATCCTAATGAAGTAACAAAAGAATGAATTAATGATGATCGTACTGAAATTCACAGTACCCGTAGTCGGAACCATATGTCGATAATTAAATTTGCGACAAGTTTCAGCATAATTCGCGTAGTAAAATTTGAGTTCAAACATAATTTGATGAGGGCATCATTGGATAATCATTGGATCAGAGACGTATATTCATCAGCTCCAAAATAAAGACAATTGGTCTGCACCATTAAACCGATTGCCTCCTTGCTTAAAATTTGAGATATTTTCAAAATGGTTCCCATGACAGCAATATTGGATTTCAATATAACAGCCATCTGTCCATGGGGAGTCGGTGGTATCCAACGATACAATTATGAAGTCATAATAATGACGTCAACACGTGGACCATGGCACTCACAGCTGGTATGAATGCTATTTGAGTTTTTTTCATAGGTAGAGGGTCAATGCCAAGGAGTAGCAAATATAAACTTATTCACGTGTAAATTAATTAACAAAAGACGACGGAGTTGTGTCCCGTGAATTGAAATCCACCATCATGCGAGTACCAGGCAAGGATATAAGGTTGGCAGATCTAATTTCATAAAAACTTAAGGAAATCCGGATGAGTGATTTTTTAACCCATTCATTTAGATGTCACCTCTGACAGTTGTTTGGTTTCCCTCGTTGATCTCTCCTGGGTTTTAGAGTGTTTTTGTAATAGTTTTTATCAGAAGTTCCCTCCCAGCGTACTACAGTATTGAGGGTGGTGGTGAGGCATCACAGTGTCTTTGCTCCCGGATACGGTTCATGAACTTTTGGTTTGGTCTATCTGTATACGACCGATTTACAAAAATACAACGCGTGCCATCACTACACCAAACAAACGCAGTAATGATGTCCCTACCCTAAATCAACAGAATAGACGTGTACCGTCCCTCCTCTCCAGTTAACGTGTGCATACTGTACTTACCCTCAACGCTCCCCTCCAATCTCACTAACTTAATATAGTGTATTGTTCCTACCCAATTATGTTTTGTCCAAATACATTTGTATTGTGATATGCACCACGGAATTGCTATCTAAGTCCGTGGCAATACGATTGATTTTGATTCACAGAATGCACAGTCCTTAACATACTTGATATATTTGTATACGTGACAGATTATACATGCATTGTCCTCGTCCCTAATATACATTTTACACGTGTCGCATTGGAAACGGTTATCACTAATCTACATACCTTCTCTCGCCCGTCATGGTCATTACATGGTCATCTTATGACAGCCGTCTGCTGGTGACCTTGACCTCTGGGATGCTACAGCAGTATACGTTAGACATACAGCATGTCGTACCCGTGTATATTTGGCATGTGTACTTCTGAAAAATATGTCTGCACGCCGTCATATTTTGTTTGCTGTAATTAACGATTCATCATATCGACGTGTACGTGGTATTTCTCTTATTTTGTGTATGTATTCCACTCCAACGGTCAGCCACTGCAGCAAAGATTAATGCATCGAAATATTGTCTGGCGTTCAGGTAAAATATATCAGGCGCGACTGTCAGGTAATTATAAGTTTACCATGTAGGTAAGGCGACCAGGTGAGCCTACATAAGTAAGGGAGCTAATAAAGGCAACTAAGTAAGGTTTCCGAAATAGGCGACAAGGTTAGGAAACCGTGAAAGTTACGGCTACCGGATAGGTAACCATGTAAGTTACGGCGACCGGATAGGTAACCAAGTAAGTTACGGCGACCGGAGAGGTAACCATGTAAGTTACGGCGACCGGAGAGGTAACCATGTAAGTTACAGCGACCGGAGAGGTAACCATGTAAGTTACGACGATCGGAGAGGTAACCATGTAAGTAACAGCGACCGGAGAGGTAACCATATAAGTTACGACGATCGGAGAGGTAACAATGTAAGTAACAGCGACCGGAGAGGTAACCATTTAAGTTACGACGACCGGAGAGGTAACCATTTAGGTAACAGCGACCGGAGAGGTAACCATGTAAGTTATGAAGACCGGATAGATAACCATGTCGGTTACGGCGACCAGATAGATAACCATGTCGGTTACGGCGACCAGATAGATAACCATGTAAGTTACGGCGACCGGAGAGGTAACCATGTAAGTTACAGCGACCGGAAAGGTAACCATGTAAGTTACGACGACCGGAGAGGTAGCCATTTAGGTAACAGCAACCGGAAAGGTAACCATGTCAGTTACGGCGACCAGATAGGTAACTATGTAAGTTACGGCGACCAATGTACTGTCCTGACGTTATTATAACATGCCATATTTCTCAAATGGTTCCATGAATGGATTCTGATGCCTTCAGCACGAACATTTTCATAGAAAGGCCATGTACTGGTACATACAATTTGCATATGGTAGATAACCGGCCTTCTGTATCTGATTACATGATCGTAAGTGGCGACTAATGTTGGTCCTCCTGCAGAATCTATAGAACTTTCTTACCGTCCCCGGATGTTTATGTACTTTTATGAGTACTTTTACTGTAGTACATTTCACTTGACCCTATTGTGTTGATCGGTACAGTTTACCAAATAAATAAATATGTTTGTAAAGGCGCATAGTATACTGTTTTTGCTTGTTCGTCTCCTTTACAAAATGTATTTCCCACTCTATATAGACGGATCCTCCCTGGCTCGGACATGTCCCGGTCCCCGTCAGTGATACCTACATTATTGATGACTATATAGCGGTAACACCTGGCCATTTTAGTACAGCGCGCCTACCTTTATATGGGCGGACCAAGATAACACAATATAGCAACGTGTGCCATCCGTTAGACGGACGGACCACAGGGACCTGAGAATTTGTTACAGCTATATTTGGACCTAAACCAAGGTGTTAAGCGTAATTTTACACGTTTGGGGGCTTTAAATCGACTTTCGGTAAAAATATGCCAACCCCATATGATAATTGGGGGTGGTATTTTTACCGATCACAGAACCATATATATGTCTGATAGCGGTAAAAGTCTGCTAAATATTGATCGAAACCATAGTACAAAGTACAGTTCATGTACTGATAAACGTACAAACACAATTAAATATGGCAGACCAATTTAATACTCAAAGGAGAAATATCGATCCTGAATTTCATAAAATCATATAATAAAAACTTTGACTAATTAATTTAATTTAAAAGATCTATATTTTACAAAGGATAGAATATATCATACATTTGTACAGAGATGAATATACCACATGGCTTTATATGTCTCTGATTTGTATAAGATATCTTGCATATTACATAAAATATTTTATAACAGATATATCTGATATAGCCTATATGAAACACGGGACATTGCTCTTTGAATTAAGCTTGCTTGCTGCAGAGAGGACCTTGAAGTTTTATAGTTCTATACTGTCGTAAACAATAACACATAGTGCTTACTATTATGCAGACGGGACCATAGGACCCATTCTCGTCATATATAAAGCGAAGGGAAACATGGATTTCGCAACAACAGTACAAAAAGACTACAGTTAGACGGACAGTAACATCTAGGACAAAAAAATTACAGCCAATTCTTATCTGAATATGTTTATACTATTATTGGTGTTAAGGAATCTGGATCCATGTCCCACTGCATGTAAAAAAAATAAAGATTTCCACTGCATATTTTCATACATAGAGTGACCTCCCTTAATTTCCGCGGGTTTTGGTACTAGCTTGTAGCTTAGTTGAGTTGGTAAGAGCAGAGACGTAAAAAGCCAGAGACTGGTTAAAGCGACCATAATGTGATCGAAAAACATTTGTTATATAGATGTAGCTATTTTCGTGCCGGTAAACGTTTCCAATTCATAGTTACATTCTTGGGCAGTGGCTCGGGGACCCTTAAGTCAAATTCTTCTGTGTTTTATAATTGATGATAATTTGGTATGTTTTTATAAAAGCAAAAAACTTATGTATTTTCATGATGGGAACATTGAAATATTTTCAAATATTATAATATACTAAATCGTATGAAACTGGAATATTCGGCATATTTTAATCTACATATTTTAAAAAATGTTTACGCTTTTTGTGCACCGGAGGACATATTCTCCGACAAAGAACTCCTTAATACATTATAATGTATTTGAAAGTTCATTATCTCAATACAATGCACTCTGTATAATGTACCGTTATGGGTCTGTTGCCTTAAGTTTGAATAAATCTTGAATCTTGAAACTGCGATGCGGGGTGAGACAGAGTTGTCTCTCTTGGATCGTTATAGTGTAGTAAGAATAACATGAAGTCACCCTACTAGGCCTATTTTTTGTGTTATAAGACATACAGTTAATACATTAATGTTATAAACAGCCCCTTACGTTTTGTTCAGTCATAAAATTTGTCCTTTTTAATAGAATAACGAAGTTAAAAACATATCTCTCCTCCTATATATGATCACTAGGGGTGTCATTTTTACCGAAAGTCGATCTAAACCCCTAAAACATGTAAATTACTCTGAACACCTTAGTTTAGGTCC